ATATATATATATATATTGTGCAATTCTACAACATTGAAGTATTTTGCATGACCTAATAAGAACACGTGGCAACCAAATAGTATTTGACTATTTGGTCGCCTTGGTCGGACTGTATCTCACAATCTTAATAGTACTAGTATAGCACTCGTGCGATGCACAGTTTACAAATTTTAATATTTATATATATTCATTTCAAAATATTTAAAGCAAAATTATTTAATACGAAATATGTAACATTGAATTTTCTTATAGTTTTAATCATATATTTTTTAGTACTATCAAATGAACCACTAAATATGATGTAGTATTTGAAAGCAATTTATTTCTTCTTCTTATATGTAAAGACTAAATAAATAAATAAACCAACAGGCTTTTTCCCATCTACAACCTCTGTCAACACAAAAAAAAAACTTGACATTTTACTTTTGAAAATGAGAAATTTAATTTCCCCATATATATATAGGATGAATAAGTTTATCTCAAATTCTATATATTTCGCATACATTTCATTCACCCATGGAGAACATAAAATTTGAAAGGGTTTTCTTAGTTATGTCATCATTAAAATTGTTGAATTTCTAAGATATGCCCCTTTTTCAAAAGAACAAATATGACTTTTTCTAAGTTGTATTAGTTTTTAGTAAATGGGATGACTTTTTCTAATATATTCTAAAACCATGAGCATGACTTATTTTGGCATGATCTTTCCACTGTATTTTTAATACAGTGGAGAATATATTGACTTATTTTGAGAGTAGTGTATCTAGGCGCATAAGCCCTTTGTGTTTTGGAAACACATTGGTAGTTCGACATCTATAATGGTAATTTGTAGGCTTTTTTTTTTCCTCTTTTTTTTTTTTTTTACTATTGTACATGTATATAGTACCACTAGATTATAGGTTGTATTAGTAGTACTATTATATCTCACAATGGTATAATACAATATTTGATACAACATTTACATATTTATTTGTACCATTAGAAAAAATATTTATACCATTACACCATTCAATGGTACTATTTACCGGTATTTTATACTATTGTTAATATTTACAACTGCAAAATATATAGCGCCTATGCGCCAAGAGTTTTCCTTATTTTGGCATACAGTGGAGAATATATTGACTTACTTTAATACTGTATTACCAGGAGTATGACTTTTTCTAAGGCGTCTACTCCTGGATGTTACATCTTCGTTCAAAAAGTCTAAATCAACAAAATTTCATCATTACAAATATAAAATTTCATGTATGCTGATTGCTGATCGAATGACAGTTAAAAATAACCTCTAACTAGTTGATTTAATTGTATGGGTTGAAGTATGTTTTAGTGGCACCAGGGATTATTCATAGCATATACTTGTACTTGGCGAGATCGGATGAGAGAAATCCATTCTATCTCTTTGTGTTCTTTTGTATGCTATGGAGGATGCTTCACCAGAAGCTATGGATAAGTTTGTCTCGATATCGAACAGCAAAAGGCAACAACCTTATTGTCGATAGGAGTATCGACTTTGAGCAAGTTGACAGGGAAAGCAAATGGTAACGTAATTTATCATCCTCAACTTACATCCATGTTGCTTGTTTTTCCTTGGCAATAGTATCAATAATGACAGTTACATGTTTATATACTCTCTCTGTCCCATTTTACTTGCAACGATTAGACATTTTTCCTCTCTACTTTATGTTAAATCGTTGTAAATAATATGAAATGAAGGTATTAATTTTTTTTTGGATTTTTTTGAAAATAACACCACTATTTTGAAAAAAATGGATTATAACACCACCTTTTCTCGAATTTGTATTATAACACCACATAAAAATAAAAAAAAAATTGATTTCACCACCTACTAACGAATTCCATCCAAGAATCCGTTAGTGGGGCTCACTTTGGACACATGTCACTCATCTATTGGATTAAATAAAATAATTTTTTTTTTTAAAAAAAAAATTCCTAAACCAGCCACCACCGTCACCCAAACCTAACCCTCGAAGCTCCGAGACCGTCGCTGAACCACCGTCGTCACCATACCCTGCCCCAAAACCTCCGATACCGTCACCACACCATCGAAACCCCAACCTAAACTAGTCGAAACCCCAGCCCACACCGTCGCCGAACCACCGTCAGCCGAAACCTAACCCAACCCAGCCGAAACCTCCCAGCCACTTTGCTTCCTCCCCGAAAAACCACCCCTGTACTTCCGCTTCACCTTCAAACCGGTCTAAAACCACTTTCGAAGCCCCAGCTGGGTCGATTTTGCGGTGAGGCGACGACATGGGTGGTTTTCGGTGGTTCGTGGTAAGGGTTTGCACGGATTGATTGGTGGGATTTGCGCGGGGGGGAGGGGGGATGTGGTGGGTGGGGATGATGGCCGGTGATTTCGCCGGTAAAGGAAGGGTTGCCGGCGTCAGTAGGAGTCTCCGGCTGTGGAGTCGCGGCCGCCGGTGGTGGGCTAGTGGCTGGGTTAGGGTTATAGGGTGTTTTTCTTCTTTTTTTTAAATTTTTTTTTACCTTTATTTTTTAAACCAATGTGTTATTGCCACGTGTCTATCTTGGGTCCCACTAATGGATTTCATCCAAAATTCAGTTAGAAGGTGGTGAAATCCAATTTTTGGATTTTTTTTTTGTCGTGTTATAGTCAAAGTTTGAGATTATGTGGTGTTATAATCCATTTTTTGTAAAATTTGTGGTGTTATTTTCAAAAAAATCCTTTTTTTTTTTCTTCCCCCTTTTCTTTGTATACATGTGACACGTTTATTTTATGTATGTGGTAAATTATACAATCAGGGATGACCAGATTCTGTTTAATGGGATCTTATTCTATATTTCATATTGGGTGCTAGAGGATGCAAAGAACATGCCTTTATGGAGAATGGATGGTCTCCTTCTAGTTTTCATAATTCATATTGGTCCTGTTGAGTTTCTCTACTATTGGTTACATCGCGCTCTACACCATCACTTCCTTTACTCTCGCTACCACTCTCATCACCATTCTTCTATTGTATCTCAACCCCATACTGGTAAGTCGTCAACACAAAATAATCATTGTACATAATGATCAAACATCCTGGAAAATACATATATGAATCAAAATAAGATTAATTAATGTTGAGTTGTACGTACTGTTATATCAATTGGAAATAGGTGGAGTAACTAATTCAACTAGACCTTGTTATATGTTACTCATCATTATTATATGTGTTTAATCTAGAGCAATTTTTTTTTTGGTTGCAGCTGTGATTCATCCATTTGCTGAACACATAGCATATTATTTTATCCTTGGATTACCATTGATGGTAACCACATTCATGGGAACTATCTCTATAGCTACTGTGGCGTTGTATCTCACTTACATCGACTTTATGAACAGCATGGGTCATTGCAACTTTGAGTTCACTCCGAAATGGGTGTTTGATATGATTCCTCCACTGAAATATCTCATGTACACTCCCTCGTAAGTAACTTTACATGTACTGTACAATACAATTCTCGATCTATTTTAAAAGGAAAATTATTTTTCATAAAGGTCCTTTTAAATAGGTTTTTTTGTTGTAATGGTGACACAAAAGACCCTTTTATTGCACTTAGGTTGTGACAAGGGTCCTTAGAGACCAGATTCCAACAGTTAACTATTTTTTTCAACAAAAAAAATTCACATGCCTTGCACAAAAATCCATTTTTTCCCTTTTCCCTTTAATAAGCCCTAATTTTTTCATCGTCAACCTTAACGCAAACGAACCCTATATATAATTCGGTCGGAAATTTTCAACAGAAATTCCGTCGGAAACTATTTTTGGGAAATTAAAAAAAAATACGTCGTGCCACCACCGACACGGCGTATCACCACCTCCAACCACCCATAAATCCCCTATCAACCCCAACCAAACCCACATCACCACCACCACCCACTGCCACATCAGACCACCACTAAACCTTAACCAACTACCACTACGGACCACCACCACCACCGCCACCCACCCTTAAATTGACCCAGACGCACCTAGACCCACCCAAACCACGACCCTAAAACTGACCACCCTTAAACTGATCCAGACCGCGGCCAGATCTTAACCCACGAGTCCACCGCCACCGCCCACGAGTTCACCATCATCGCAATTCATCCAAAATCACCATAAAATAAAATAAAAAATCGCAAAAACCAAAAATAAATAAGAAAAAAAATACATACCTTGAAATTTACCAACAAAACTCTGAAATTGGCGTGTTTTTGGGTTTTAAACGTTAAATTTGACCATGAAAACTCTAGATCTAGAGTTTTCATGGTCAAATTTGACATGAAAAACCTTAATTTATACAAAAAATTAAAACCCCATTTGAGTTCAATGTTCATGCGTGAGTATAGGGAGAAAGGATGAGAAGAAAAAACTGAAAAAGAAAGGGGAAAAGGATGAGAAGAAAAAACTGAAAAAGAATGGAAAATAGGTGATAAGGAGCGAAGAAGAAGAGGCGGGATGAGAGGAAGAGAGGAGAGGAGAGTGAGTGAGAAGAGAGGAGAGAGAAAGAGAAAGAGAAATAAGAATATAAAGAGGGAGGGGGCGCCGTTTTTAATTAGGGTTTGGGTTTTTTTTTTTTTTTTTTAAAATAAATTCCGTCGAAAACATATAATATTCTGTCGGAAATTCTTCAACGGAATTATATTCCGTCGGAAGCTTTAATTTCCGACCAAACATTCCGTCGGAAATTTCCTACGGAATAAAATCCATTGGAAAACACTTAATTTACGACGAAAATTTTAAATTCGTCGCAAATTTCCTACGGATATTAAGTGTTTTCCGACGGATTTTCATGTCCGTCGGAACCCTTCCGTCAGAATTAGACCTTTTTCTTGTAGTGAACCCTATTCTGTGAAGAAAAAAAAATCATCAAACTCCGATTCTAGTCTCTCACATTAAAATTGTGGCAATTGAAGACAAACCGAACCAGCTGAGGTGGGGAAGGGGGAAAAAAGGATTATAATTTAAGTGATCATATTCAACACACATGAAATTTTTTTGGCCAGAAAAAAAAAAAAAAAAAAAAAAGTCAATGGTTTGAATCTGATCAAAAGACCCTCTCCACGACCTAAGTGTGATAAAAGGATCCACCTTTTTTATGAAAGGACCTTTACTACAAAAAGACCTATTTAAAAGGATTTTTTTTTGATAAATTTCCATTTTAAAATGCATAAAAGTAATAAGGCTCTATTTTCTGATTTTACAGGTATCACTCTATGCATCACACCCGTTTCAGGACAAATTACTCTCTTTTCATGCCATTCTATGATTACATCTATGGAACAATGGATGAATCAACAGATATAGTTTATGAAAGTTCTCTGAAGAAGTCGGAAGATGTTCCGGATGTGGTTCCCCTTACGCATCTGACAACTCTGCAGTCTGTCTACCATCTCCGGCTTGGGTTTGCCTCACTTGCCTCGAACCCTTTGAACTCCAAATGGTACATGTGGCTAATCTGGCCTCTCACATGCTGGTCCGCGCTCATAGCTTGGGCCTATGGTAGGACATTCATCATCGAAAGAAACACATTTAAGAAGCTTAAGGCAAAATTATGGATTGTGCCATGCTTTAAGAAAGAAGTGAGTAATTATTTTCACTTAGCCAGACATTATTTCTATATGATGAGTGACATAAAATGGAACTAACATATATTATGAGTGACATAAAATGTTATTTTGTAATAATACAACTTTTAGGGGGTTTTACGAAATAATACAGTACAATCTTTCGTAACCTCAAAATCCAACGAAAATTTGATTTTGTCTAGTTTAAATGAACACCTCCTAAAGGTTGTATTATTACAAAATAATCCAAAAATTTATTTTTAAAAATGGATCAAAGGTTGTATTATTTTTGACAATTTTTCCTTTTATTATTGGATATTTGGTGTAGTATCTCTTACAAACGAAGGGAGATGCTATAAACAAGTTGATTGAAGAAGCCATACTAGAGGCAGAGGAGAAAGGAGTCAAAGTAGTAAGCCTAGGACTTTTAAATCAGGCAAGTTATTAATTAAGTTATGATTATTATTCTTTGATTTTATGTTATGTTATTAAAACAACGAAATGTTATGTTATTGAAACAATGAAATATATATAGCTAAGTTTTATCTTCTGATCACTAACTTCTCAGGTTATTTATAAATCAATTTTAGATGTCGTATGACTTTATTTATGAATCAATTTTATTTCAAAAAAAAAAAGTTTTATCTTCTGACCACTAACTTCTCAGGAGGAAGAGTTCAATAGAAACGGCGAAATTTACTTGGAAAAGCACCCTAAGCTCAAAGTAAAAGTGGTAGATGGTAGTAGCTTAGTAGTCGCGGTGGTGCTTAATAGCATTCCTGTGGGAACTTCCCAGGTTATGTTTAGGGGTAGGCTGTCGAAGGTTGCTTGTTCCATTGTTTCGGCGCTATGTCACAAGGGCATCCAGGTAGTAAATTTGTGCCTTTTATGGCCATGTACTCCATTGATATCTACATTATTGATGTGGTGAATTTCAATATATAAGTATGTTGAGTCCCTTAGGTTTTGATTGATAGTTTTGAATGATGACAAACAGCTATGGGAACGGGTTTTAATAAGTGTTGAAAACAGTTGGTTGGAACCAGCTATAATAGAACACTGTTTTCCTAGATAAGTTATTGACTATATGAGTTATCTATTGAACTAACTTATCTATATACAGGAAACAGTTAGATGATAAATGTGCTATGTACTGGTGGGGAACCAGTATGAACCGTTTCCTCGACTGCTATGCGGAAAAGCAGTCACTTACTTTATATTGTGCATTAACCTTGTTGAATGTGCAGTATATAAGTTGATTCCAAGTCTTGAAGCAGATAGGACTTTCGAAGAGATTGAAGAAAGTTCCATTGGTTACAATTGAGGTTATCTAAAGAAGGTTTTCAAGACTTGAAGTTTACATGAAGGAAGATCCACATCAAGAAAGAGCTTTTTAGGATCTTCATGTAAATGCTCCGTAGTATGGTTTATTAATGGATATATAAAGTGCTTTAAATATATCGAGCATCGTTGTGAAATTTGGTACAAGGATTGGAACAAATTTCATAACATGTTCAAGTCAGGGAACCAGGTCTGGGGACCAGGTTAACTGATCAGGTTATTAGAGCTGCGATTTTAAAAAGATTTTATAAAAAGATTTTTTATTGAAAATTCAGTTTTGAAAATATATCTTGGCAGCTGTAAATAGATGTGATATAATCTTTAAATACCTAAAAACTAGGAGTAATTATCTTGAGTTGATTTTATCTTATAATAGAATCAATTAAAGATAAATACTTACCTAAATCATGTTTATCTTATTGGCATGATTTATGGTAACTAGGGTTTCGGTTTTCTAAGACTATAAATACAATCTATTCGCTAATAATCTGAAGGCATCTCTCACACGCATAAAAAGGAGTTTTTCATTATTGAGAGAAAAAGCACTAAATCCATTATTGAATCATATACAAGAGCATCTAGTGTTTAATATTTTCTCTACATTAACTTTTGAGAGTTAGATCATTAGAGAGTTTTGATCTTGTAATTGAGTCTTTGGCAAAGAGGCTAAAGGCTGGGTGAGTGTTTGTGAGTTCAAACACGTTTGGAACTTACGAGTGTAAGTTGAGAGCATACTCGGAGTAGAGTGTGGGGTTTGCTGGTTCCCGGAGTAGGGAAACAGCAGAGTGTTCTTTGTCTTTGTTTTTCGGAGTAGATTAATAAAGAACTTAGGATAGGAGGACGTAGGCCTGAGTTGGCTGAACCTCGTTAAATTTGTTGTCTTCTTTATTGCTTATTTATATTCCGCTGCGTACGGGAACCAGCACAACTGGTTCCTCACACATAATCCGAAAAGAAGCAAAATTAGCCAACGATTACTTAACACTCAATTCACCCCCCCCCCCTCTTGAGTGCCCATTGAACCCTCAATTGGTATCAGAGCCTAAGCTTCTCGAAAGAGTAACATCTAGAGGAGTTAAGAATGAGTACTCAAGAATTAAGTGCAATCGGTTATGACAACAAGTCACCCAAGTTTAATGGAAATAATTATGCTTGGTGGAAGAACAGGATCCAGAATGTTATCATGGGTATTGATTATGAATGCTGGCTCGTAGTTAAAAATGGTCCTAATATCATTCTCAAGACAGATGTTGAGGGGAACCAGGTTCCCAAGAAAGACAGCGAATTGGTCACTGCTGATTACAAGTTGCTGGAGAAGAATGCTAAGGCAATGTCAATACTACAACAAGCAATAGGTGAGACCGAAACAAATCGTATATCTGGCTGCAGTAGTGCTAAGGAGATATGGGACACCCTTGAACTTGCGTTTGAGGGAACCAGTGAGGTAAAACGGTCTAAAATTGATTTAATCATGTCTAAATATGAATTGTTTGCCATGAATAAAAATGAAAAAATCAATGATTGCTTTCGTAGGTTTATGACTATTGTAAATGATCTTAGATCTCTTGGTAAAAATTTATCTGACGAGGATCTTGTGAGAAAATTATTGCGTAGTTTAACAGATGCATGGACAGCCAAGGTAACAGCAGTATACGAAGCAAAGGATCTGTCTACCTTGTCTCTGGAACAGCTGATTGGTTCCCTTATGACTCATGAGATGCTGATTGACTCTAAGTCTCAGAAGGAACCAGCCATAGGCATGGCGTTGAAGGGAACAGTAGAGGAAGAAGAAGATGAGATTAGCATGATTGCTAAAAGATTTGAGAGATCTCTTCGAGATCAAAGGAAGAACTTCAAAGGTAAGAATTTTAAAAACTATAAAAAATTTAACTCTAATTCTTCTTCTACAGGATGTTTCAAGTGTGGAGAAAAAGGACATCTTATTCGAGATTGTCCTAAGTGGAATGACAAACAGTCTAAATCCGGAGATAAACAAGCATACAAGAATGCCATGATAGCTTCCATGTGGGGAGACTCTGACTCAGGGTCAGATGAAGAAGAAGGATCACCCAACTCAGATGTTTGCCTAACTGCCTTTACAAACATCAAGGAAAACAGCACTGGTCCAGGAACCAGAGGGGGAACCAGTACATTCAACAAATGCTTTATGGCAAAGAAGGATGTACTACATGAACGCAAGGTAAGCTTAGAGCAAATTAGAGAAGATATGCATGAATATGATAGAGAAAATATGCTTGCTTGTATTTATTCCTTACTAGATGAATGCTATAAACTAAGTGAAACATACATAACTTGCAAAAGAGAATTAAAAGAAAAACGTGGTGAATGTAATATTGCTATTGCTAGTTGTGATCATCTAGAAGGAGTCTGTTATGAACTAAAAAATCAAGTAGCAGAACTAGAGGTTGAATTGGACAAGTGTAAAGTGGAACTAGAAAAGGAAAGATCGTTTGAACCAATTGATGGTGAAGAGGATCTGACCTCCTGGTTCCCTAGAGACTTATCAACCACTAGTGATACTCTTGATTTTTCAGTAGCTATAAGTAAAGCAAATTCGTGTACTAGAACTTCCTTGTTGAAGGCCTTTGAAACATTGGCTTACAACCTGGAAAACTCTCACAAGGAAATTGCTTCACTTAAAGCTGCACAGTTCACTGTTTCCCCTACAGGTACCAGTGTAGATGTCAGTAATACGATTGATAAGTATGAAAGTAATATTTGTGATTTGCATGCGGAAATCAATCAACTGAAAAAGGACAAGCAACCAGTGGTTGTTGACATGTCTATTGACTCTATGGTTTCAAAGCTTAATCTACAATTCGAAGCTTTAAAAAGTAACTTTGATTTTCTTAAAGAGAAAAACGAATTGTTAACTAAAACACTTGAAACCAGAGAAAAAGAACTTAATGATAGTCATAGACATGTGGACAAATTATTGAATGCTCAAGAATCCTTAAATTACCTGACTTCATCAAGAGGAAACAGAGGAAAAGTTGGTCTTGGTTATACTAGACAGAGAACCAGGACTAACTGGTCTCCCAGAGAAACCACCTGGATCAAAGAATATCAACGAGGCAAGTATGTCATGACTAAAGAGATGCATGTGTGTTTTCATTGTGGTAAAAATGGACATAAGATACATGAATGTCCAGCTAAGAAAATTAGTGCTAATAAGAACAGCAAGGGTGTAAAATATGTGTGGAGAAGAAAGGATCAACAAGATGTTAATGTTGTTGAAAAGGGACCCAAGTATGTTTGGGTTCCTAAAACTAATGTTTGATTTGCTCTTGCAGGCTAGAGTGAAGGGAGACACCTATTGGTATTTGGACAGTGGTTGCTCAAGACACATGTCCGGGGATAAAGATCAATTCCTTTCACTAGTGGCCTTTGATGGAGGAAGTGTCACCTTTGGGGATAACAGCAAGGGAACCATCACTGGTTTAGGTAAGGTTGGTAAGACACTTTCTAACGCAATAGATGATGTTTATTATGTTGAAGGCTTGCAACATAATCTCTTGAGTATTTCTCAATTATGTGACAAAGGTAATATAGTTGAGTTTCAAGCCAACCTATGTCACATAGTTAACTCACAAACAGGAGAACTTGTATGTGAGGGAACCAGGAAGCATGATGTTTACATCACCTTCTTAGATAAAATCCCTCAAGACAAGTCCATCTGTTTGAGAGCTGTTTCTGACAATAATCAATGGATTTGGCATAAGAGGTTTGGACATGCTAGCCTAACACTTCTAAACAAACTTAAAACACGTGACTTAGTTGTAGGCCTTCCTAACATTAAGTATGAAGCTGATAAAGTTTGTTCTGAATGTGTAAGGGGGAAACAGGTCAAAATTTCTTTTAAGTCTAAAACTATTTTGAGTACCAGCAGACCCTTCGAACTTGTACACATTGATTTGTGTGGTCCCATGAGAGTACAAAGTCGAAGAGGTCATAGATATGTCTGTGTTATGGTTGATGATTATTCTAGGTACACTTGGGTAATGATGTTACACACAAAGGATGAAACGTTTGAAGAATGGGTAACATTGGTGAAACAAGTGGAGAACCAGCTCACCCACAAGCTGGTCTCGGTAAGATCAGACCATGGTACTGAATTTGATAATGCTAACTTTATTGATTATTGTAGGGAACATGGAGTTAATCACAACTTCTCAGCCCCTAGAACACCCCAACAAAATGGTGTTGTAGAAAGGAAGAATAGAACTCTTGAGGAGATGGCGAGGACGATGCTCATTGAGAGTGGTCTCCCAAAGAATTTTTGGGGAGAAGCTGTTGACACTGCTTGCTATATATTGAATAGAGGTCTCATTAGACCAAAGTTAAATAAGACTCCCTATGAACTTCTTAAAGGTCGAAAGCCCAACATCACATACTTTCGTGTCTTTGGGTGTAAATGTTATGTGCATAATAATGGGAAGAATCAACTTGATAAGTTTGATCCTAGAAGTGATGAGGGAATCTTTCTTGGATACTCTTCTCACAGCA